GGAAGAAAAAGTAATAATAATAAGAAATGGTTTGTTTATTTGTGGCTGGTCAATACGCCGGCCAGGTTTTATGTTCCTCGTTCAGACAAAGGGATAACAAATTAACGTACTATTCCATAATATATTTAGAAAAGTATTGCATTCATATATATACAAATATTAGGTGAACTTAGGTCCCATTTAATTGCTCTTTCTTTTCCATGAAAGATGGAAATTAAAATTTATTTCCACCTTTTTACATATTTGATTGACTAAATTTTTCATGAAAATAATTTTCCACATTTTATTAGTTTTTGAGGAAAAAATTTTCCCCTGGGTTTTCCACATTTTCTTTGTTTTAAAAAATTGCAACTTTTTAAAAAAAAAAATTTAAATTTTTTTTACTATGGAAACAAATTTTATCCCCAATTGTAACAAATTCTATCGCTTTAATGGACAATTTACTTGAAAAACAAAGCCAAATGAACACCAAAAGATCCAAAATTTCAATATTTTTTAGGTGAAAAATTATACTAATCAAACACAATTAATTAACAATTCCCAATAAAACAAGTTCTACGCAATTCAATTCCCTGAAATTTATTTTTTTTCCACTCAAATTTCATTCTTGCAATCAAACGGTCCCTTATATTTTCTCTATAAAATCCAACTGTGAGAAGTGAAGTAGGAGAGAAGGGTTGTCATAATTCTTAAATAGAGTTTCGAATAATAGGTTTTTTTCATATAAATATACAGATATCATAAAATATATGCACCGGTCCTCTGCGATTACTAACATTGACTTCCACGAATTTGAAAGCCATAATGTAAGAGGAAAAAAGCATTAAATAATATTCAGATGACTAATGAAAACGCATACGTAATTCTTGTTTCAAATTAAATGTCTTTCATTGACTTTGTGTACAACCGACAACATTTTGAAATTATTTTTTTCTTAATTTTTGCTAAAACTTTCATACTATTAGAAAATTATATAACTCGACAAGAAAATAAAAATCTAGGATTATGTACATATTGAGTCAAGATCATGTAAATCCAAGAAAATTTGAGCCGTTTCATTTTTAAGACGAAACTTGTATCCACGCACTTCAAATTAATTTACTCCAAGTTTAATTTGTTCCGTAAATAACTTCTTTGCACCGATTAGCCTCATAATTGAAATTAAGTTCCAGTAACGAAGTAAGCTCTTATTCGGTAGGGATTAAAATCAGATTTTTAGTAGATTTTGACAAAAATTGATGAAAAATATGGTTGAAAAGTTGTGGGTCCCATATAATATGTAATATAAGTTAATTATTGACTTGACTTAGATTTAAATTTAATTTAAATTTTAATCCATACCGAACATGAGCATTGTAAGCACGTAGAAGGTTGGTGATATATTAATTTAGTGGGGGAAAAAAGGATGGTTTAGACCTTCAATAAAAATGTAATAATTACTTAATAGGTTCTCACGTATGTTGGCTAAGCTTATAAGATTTAATTTTAAGTACTTTTGCTTCTTCTTTTTCTAAGCCAAACATGCTCTTTCCAAACAACTAAACAAGAAACTTGATCAGTTCTTAATTATCCTCATACCTTATTAATCTATTATTTACATTACTTTATGAAGAATAAACAAATAGAGATTCAAAACATGCATGGATTCAAGCGAACCCTTATCTTATATTTGCTAATTGTTGATTTTGTTGATTTTTCTGCTCGGTCCGGAGGATGGCACGTTTCCTTTGGGAAGCATAGCCATAAGCAATGGTCCATATGCAGCTTCTCCAATCTTCCTTGTTGCATGAAATTCTGTACTCGTTTGCTCTATCTCTTTTGTATCGTTGCTCGCGGTCGGGACTTCCCGTCCGACGTTCTTGTCTGAATTCATGATGTTTTCTTCTCCTGGGAAGGCTCCCTTGAGGGTTCTGCAGGTGGCTGGTGAAAGTTGGTAAATGAAGAAGCAGATAAACAGAATTGCAGCACAGAACTGAGAAATCTTTAGGTTTTGTTTGGCCATTAGAGTAATCTTTAAAAGAAATAAATTCAAGAAAGTTGATCTGAAAATGCTGTATTTTCTTTTGAGGTAGAAAAGGTTGAGGATTTATATAGAGAAGAAATGGGGTGCCAACTGCCACGAAATGGGGGTGGGGTAGGGTGTGGGGGGTTGAATTTCAAAATGTCAGAGGATCAAAAGTCGTGTATGTGTGCGAAACGAGAGAGGAAAAAAAGTGTGTTTTCGTCACCTAGATAGACAAAATCGCATGGAAAGTGAACGCGATTTAGCAACCACTACCTCAGATAGACGTGTATAGACACGTTCAAATTTATTGTTTTTGGTTCACACACTACACAATCTAGTTAGACATAAATCTTTTTTTTTTAATTTCAATAACTACTCGGCTTGATGGTTCAATAGAATTTTCGAGATTTTAAAAAAAAGGTTGAACCCCAACCTTGAGGGCCCCCACCGACCCTGCCCTGGGCCATTGTGAAAGAGGTAAATCGCAGGATGTGCCTCCCAGGAGCCAGGGTCCACCCACCCTTTATAAATTTTATAATCTGTCAAACTACGTTTATCCACATATTTATCAAATCAATTAATAT